TCCTTTCTAGATGGGTTCGGCCGCGGTCGGCTGCCTATCGTCGGCGACCGCGCCCCCTCCGCCAGGGAGTTCAAGAGTCCGCCCACGGTCCAGCACCGGTCGCCCGCGGAGTGCACGCCCAGCCTTCTTTTCCCAACCCTCCTGTGTGTTGGGTCCTCGTTTTGAATCCGCAGCCTCGCGCGTCTCCATGTCGGCGCCCCCCCCTCCGCGTTCGCATGGCGTCGCCCTCCCATGTCGGCGCACCCCTCACACGTTTCGTAGCCCCGCTAGAAGCTCCACTGAGGGCCCCAGCGGGTGCGTTCGCATGGCGTCGCCCCACCCATTCCGGCACACCCTTCACACGTTTCGTGGCCCCGCAAAGAGCTCCACCGAGGGCCCCAGAGGGTGCGTTCGCATGGCGTCGCCCCGCCCATTTCGGCACCCTCACACACTTCGTGCCCCCCAGGGAGCCCCACCGAGGGAACCATTAAATTACATGCGTTCGCATGCAGATTTCGGCACACCCCTCACACGTTTCGTGGCCCCCTGGGAGCTCCACCGAGGGCCCCACCTGGGTGCTCTCGCATGGCGTCGCCCCACCCTTTTCGGCCCAACCCTCACATCATGCCTCTCATGGAGCTGCACCGAGGGCCCCAGCGGGCGCGTTCGCATTTTCAAGCAGGAGTCCCCGTTTCATATCAGAGGGCCACGGCGACAACCTCACGAGGGATTTGACGGGCCCGCTGGTGTTCATAGAGTCCCGCAGTTCGGGGCCCCTCCATTTTCGCGGCTTCAGGGTGACCCGGGCGGGTTTCCCATTCTCGCATGGCCAGGCCATCACAACCACAGCGTACCAGGGGCGCACCATGCGGGAGAGAGTGGGCGAGAGGACGGCGCCCTCAACGTTTTTGGAGCGATTTGGCATTCAGGTTTGTGGTTCTGGCGCGCCGGTTTCGGCCCACGGATTTCGGCGCGCCTGTCTCTCGCCCGCTTCCGCCCAGGCGTGCTTCTGGATTGCGGCCGCCACGGGGTCGGGAACGGCAGGAAGCATGACGACGATTGGTGGCTCGACCTCTACGTCCTCCTCTCGCGCGCGACTCGCAGCGAGGACCTCCTGCTCACGCGCGCGCCCCCCGTCGAGTTTTTCCTGCGCGGGCCGCCCGCGGGCCTGTACTCGCGCGGGGGCTTGCCAGAAAACGGCAGGGCCCGCGCGGCACAGCTCGGTTTCGAGGAATTCCTGCGTGCGGCTGGGACCTGAGCCTGCTGCGGATCGTTTCAATATCGCGCAGCAGTCGCCCCGTCCGCGGCCTGGACCCCTGGCGCGTCGCAGGTGGTTCACGCTCACACGCAGGCTCGCCCGGGTTTGACCCGCGGCGCGTGGGCGGGTTCGCGAGCTGTCGCCGCCGGCACCTCTGGTCGAAAGAATCTAGACCGCACACGGCTACGCGCGTCTGCAATTGGTTCAAATTGCGCGGCAAGCGCCCGCGCAGCGCGCGGCGCGGTCCTATTCCATAGCGCGGGGCGCTAGGGCGCCGCGTAGCGCATGCCGCTGTCCGGCGCCACTACTTTTTTTCTTCGGCGGCAAGTTACCCACTTGACGCTCGACAATTCGCAGCGTTCCGCGCGTCGCGCTGTCCTGTTATGTCTCGCGTGACGTAGCGCGCGGCGCTGAGACTCGCACTAGTCATTCCTCCAATTCGACTTCCTCCTCTCCGTGCCTCCGTCCTGCTCCACGTCACGTTCGTCGTGCGATCCCCATCGCGATTCGATTTGTGGGCGTCTATGCCCGAATGGGGAAATCTGTGCGCGGTTTTACCCTCTTTGGCGAAGTCGCCGGGGATATTGTAGATCATTCGCCGTGTTTTTGCGCATTGGGCCGTCCTGTTTATGTTCGCCCTGATTTATACAGGGTTGGGTTCTTCGCCGAGCAAGTTTTCCTCGTGCTCCCAAGCGCCCAATCGCCTCCACGTCGCGGTACGACAATGGGAACATCCTTGGGTAAGGGAGCTAACAATTACATAAACATAAAACTCGGAGTCCCGTTCGGATTCCTCGGACCGGCACTGGGGCCCCTTGGCGCCGCCCCCGGCGCCGCCCCCGAGCGCGCTTCGCGCGCCAATGGGGAAGTCCAGCGCCGATTCGAGAAATCCGCGCGGGCCTCCGAATTTTGGTGTTTCTGTCATTACTTGTTTCCCGATTGGGAGCCACAGCCAGGCCAATGCCCGGAGAGGGACGATACAGCCCGAAGGCAAGTCGACCAAGGCTCGTCGCATCAGCGCGCCCAGCGACAGTGCCGAAACGGCGCGGGCGGTGGAGTCCCCAAGGTTGCGCCGCCAGTCGTCCATCGACTGGGCTGGCATCGAGGTTGCCCTAGCTGTCGTAGCGGCGGCGTCGGGCGCCCTTCGGGCGATCCCGGGCGTTGTCGTAACAGCCGCGGCGGCGGCACCGTCGGTCGAGCGTCGGGCGCCAACGGGGTACCGTCAGGTGGCCGTCGGATGGCAGACAGGCGGGCGGGCGCCGTCGATCGGCCGTCTGGCGGCGGACGGGCGGTTGTCGTAACGGCGGCGGCGGCGCCGGGCGCCACGCTCATTTCAGGCTCTTTTTTCCTCCGCCGCCTTTCCCTTCCTTTGCCTTCCCGTCCTTGCCCGTGGAGTTGCTTTTCCCCTGCTGCCTGCGATCCTGGACTGAACGCTCATCCTCGCGTGTCGTCATCAGCTCCTTGTCCTCGTCGACCAACGGCATGCCCTCTGGCGGGACTAGCTCCAACCACTGCGTTCTGATCCAGCTGTTGTTGTCCTTCATCGCCGTCTCGAGCGCCTTGAGCCGCTGACACAGCAAGTCTGTTGCGGTTCTGGCTTGGCGCTTGGCCAGCAAGACCAAGGCCCAGCACAGGGTGCGCGCCTTCTGGGACATACGGAGCGCCATGTCGCGACGCGCTGGGCTCAGCACGACGCGGAAGCAGGTCGACGCGATTTTTCCGGTCATCGCCCTTCCGCACACCGACCTGTTGGCGGAGGTTGTCCAGCGTGTCTTCACAGCCTCCTCGTGGCCTGGCGCCCGCCGTGGGGTCCCCTCCTGCGGACGGCTTGTCGAAGAGTCTGGAGGCCCCTTTTCTTTCTCGGGTTTCTCCCTGTCCTCCTCGCCGTCCTTGCCCTTTTTCTGGTCCTTGCTGTCGTCCTTACCCTTGTCCTTGCTCTCGCCCTCGCATGGGCTTGTCACTTCGGCGGGCCGGCCCCTTCAGCCACCTCAGGTCGCCTGCCTCCTCTTCCGTGAGGTATCGGATTTCGTTCAGGTGGACGATGGGTTCCTCGCGTCACTTTTTCCACCCCCGCCTGCGCTGGCAGTCGTAGGCGGGCTCCATACACAGGTGGTAGAGCCCCTTCATGCTGTGGTCCCTCTCCTGCGTCCACCAGGCATAGTAGTCCTCTTGGACGCACATGTGCTCCATGCGCGCCACGCCGCCGAACTGGGCCCCCTTGCTGCACCGGAGCATCACCGCCCCTTGGGGAGTCCCGCTCTTATCCTGGACAGTGGCCTCGTACAGCTCGCCGCTCACGATCTCGCTCTGAGCGAAATCGGGGTCACGAGCCGCTTAGATCCAAGGGCCAGCTATCGCGAAAGACCCCCCCCCCCCGAGACACCCGCCGCCTGGCAACCCGACGGCCGGCGCTGGCGCGGCGCCCGCGCCAGCGACAGAACACTCCCTGCCGGCCCAGAGGAAGGGGGGATAGGGGGCGCGGCCGTCGGGCTGAGCGGGGTGGTGTGTGTCTTGGGTTCTGTATGGACCTTGATCCCAACAGCTTAGGCCAAACTGGTTGCGGACTGCAGTAAACTTGACGACATAGATTGAGTTGCATGGATTGCACCAAATGGATTGCACAACATAAAATGCATCACCTACAGTGCACGACCTTCATTGCGCAACATAGATTGCAGCACATAAGTTGCACCTCGTATATTGCACAACATAGATTGCACCCATGAGACTGCACCAAATAGCTTGCACAACATCTTTAAAACCGTTTCGATTGCACCTCATGGATTGCATGATATAGTTTGTGCCATATGGAGTGTACAATACATGTGTGTATATATTTTTATGTACTTGTACACATACCAATAAAGATAGTACACCACATCGAATGTACCACCACATCGATTGCACCACATAGAGCGCACAACCTATATTGCCAGAAGCACTGTTTGGGGTCCGCGATGGCTGCCATATGTTTTCCATGAGCTCGGCATTGCAATCCTTACGAGACCTCAAGTTTGGCAATAATTTCGGCATGCGCGCAACGACCGCGCGTGCTGACTTCTTTCCGTGGTTTTGCATATTGCTGAACATGTATGATTGATAAGCGAGTGTGCGCGCATAGTATAATATGACAGGGATGAGGGGGGCGATAACGGCATTATTGTTGGCCGTATGAGTTCATATTTGAGATGGATGATGGGGCATAATCGTGTGTAACTTACACTATCGCATGGGAACCGATCTTTCGGGGTGGGGAGGGTGGTAGATTCTGATTTGCTTCATGAAAAGACTTACGAGGCCCGCGCAGTCAAAATTGCGACCAAAATCCGGCGGCGAGGGGCGACGGCCACGGCCGGCGACGGGCGGCGACGAGCTGGCCGCACCGCTAGCCAGGCCCAAGCGGACGGCGGCGACGGGCGGCGGCGACAAGCCGGCCGGACCGCCAGACGGGCCCAGTTTTCATTGTTTTGCCGATCGGCGCGGGCCCTCGCATCCACCCCCCATGGAGTAGATATTGGCAGAGCAGGTGGAGTCTCCCCCATCGGACGCACTGTTGCAAACAGTCGCATGAAGCAGAGGTCCGGAGCCAGAACTCCCCCCCCATCCCCCCCCCTCCGCCCAATGTCGAAACGCCGAATCAGAAAACGCTTACAAGTAAAAATCTCTAAGTGCACGCATTGTTTGAGCAAGAAAAGTTCCGAGAGCCGCGCGGCGCAGACCGAGAGCGAGGGGCAGCGTTCCCGGACCCCGCGGACGGTTGCAGGCGCCTCCCGCGGCCAACCCGCAGCTGGCCGAGCCGCGGCCCGCCGCGGAGCCCACGGCGGGCCAGTTTTATTTGGCGGCCTGCGGCGGCAGGCGCCGTCGCCGCGGGTCAGTCGATGGTCGGTCGTGGTCCGTCGCCGTCGGTCGGTTCGTCGTCGGCTCTCTCGTCGGTTCGCCGTCGGTCGTTCGTCGGTTCGTCGTCGTCACCGTCGGCCGTCGTCGGCCGCCGTCGATCGTTCGTTGGTCCGATATCTGTCGTGCGTCGGCCGCCGTCACGGGACGGGGCCAGGCGCGGCGTCGTGGAGGTGAAGTCCATCGACTCGGCCAGCGGGTCGATGTCGGTCCAGTGGTGCCCCTGGAAGAAAGCGGTTTTCATTCCTGGGCGATAACAGGCGTTATTGGGGGTGGGAAGGGGGGAGGAGGGGCCGGTAGCGTCACGTTTCCCGCCTGCGCCGTCCATGGGAGCGCCCTAGGAATACCCAAAGGCACCTCGGAGGTCAGCACGAATCGTGACGTTACCAGTGGGGGAGAGTCGGACGGGGCTAGGACAAGGATAAATCTGTTCCAGAGCGTTCAGGAACGCTCTCAGAGCGTTCCAGAACGCTCTGAGAAGGCCGCGGTGCCCGAGACATTCTCCAGAGCCGCGGGATCTCAGAGATTCTCGATTTACTCTCACCCGGTTTTATTATCGTTCTGGCTTCGTCGTAAGGAGGGGGGGGGGGGCATGACCGGTAATGGCCGCTACCGCGAAAAACAGAAAAACGTTCTCTTAGAGCGGAGGCTTTCGGAATGGCTTCGGAATGGCTTCGGAGGGCCCGTGCTCAGCTTGCATCAGCTGCGCCTCGGCAAGGGCTTTGCGGGGATGCCGCAGCCTTCTCGCATGGCCGCCAGAGGCCCGAGTTCTGGCCCGCAAGGGAGGAGCAATGATTTCAGAGGAGGAACAGGTACCCATACCACTGTTCTTGATTCGGTTTCGCCTTCTTGGGCCTCCTGGGAGGCCCTCGTCGCCACCCGTGGATTCGCCTCGAAATCTCGGTCACAGCGCACGGCGGGCGAGATTCTGGGAGTAGCGGCATCGGTACTTCTCTCGTCCCCCTCGACGATGCGGAGGGGCGAGGCGTTGTTGCACTTCTGGGCCTCCACGGGGCCCAGGCCGCCACGGCTGGATTCGCCTCGTCGAAATCCCCGTCTGAAGGAGAGGCCCCGGGGGAGCAGGGGGGGGTGGCGGGGGGCGATCTTAGAGGGCCACATGCGAACCCTACCCCACCTCCCCCCTTTGAAATCGTGGGGTGGTGGGATAGGGTTCGCACGTGGCCTCTTAGACCTTGAGAAAGGCTGACAGCACGTGCCCAAGAAACCGCAAGCATTGTGGTGAAGGCGCGTGGACCAGCGACGGGTCCCGCTTCCGCACGAAACTGGGGCGCTCCGTCGCTAAGTCGGGCGGCATTGGTCTCATGTTTCCTATCGTATTTTGACGTGCCGTCTTCGGCACGTGGATCCTGGCGCCCACGCGCCAGATCCCGTGTTGCCTCAAGTCGACGTTGCCGATGCATCGGCGATGCGGCTCGATGTGCATCCCGTTTTGCTTCACGTCGACGTCGCCGATGCGTCGCCGGCGTCGACGGTGCATCACCGATGCATCGCCGATGCATCACCGATGCATCGCCGATGCATCGCCGATTTCTCGTCGATGCGGCGCGATCCTCCGACCCCATCTACTCGGACTCGGACCCTTGCGCCCACGCGCCAGATCCATTGACCCGTATTCCCCAGACATCTGGCGTCTCGATTGTTTCGAGACTCGGGCACCCGACCTCTCGACACATTCCCTGGGACAATTTCTTCATCCCGAGTCGTTTTTAGGCAGTCCCGAGGCCCAGTAAGGGCCGAAAAACCTCCGTCCTGCTTGATTCGAGACGCCCGACGCTTGGGACCAGGTCGGCGTGCGCCCGAGGTACTTACGCCCCGTTGAAGCTTGATTGCCGCTCGTGGCCCAGAACCGGCCCATCGTTGAACGGTGCGGCGTTTCGGAAACGGCCGATCGCTCGAGGTCGAAGGATCCCTGCGGCGTCAGGGACCAACGCCAAGGTCGTCACCACCCGACCCTGCCGTGCAGCCGTTGCGCTGAGACAGGGCCTGGCTCGGGTTCGGAAGGGGCTCGGTGGTTCCCCGGGTCTGCCCGCGTTCCCTAGCGCTCTCTTGCCGAGAGGCCCGCTCCCTTGGCTTCGGCAGAGGGAGGGGCCATTCTCAGGACGAGGGGCAAAAGGAGAGGAGGGAACGCCTCCAGGCATGGGCTCGGCCGATGCTCAGACATATATGGCCTGGTCTTGAAAGAAAAAGGGGCTTCGGTCCTTCTTTCGCGTTCCCTCTGTCGGCGGCGAGCGAGGGGGGGAAGTGAGAAGGAGAAGGCCTTCTCAGAAGGCGTCGGGGCTTCTCAGAAGCCCTCCGGCCTTGTGGGAAGTTGTTTGTGACTTTCAAAAGGCTTAAAAATCTTCTCCGAAGGCCAAAGGACTTCCGGGCCTTCTGAGAAGGCCCGCCCTTTCTCACTTCCCCCCTCGCTCGCCGCCGGTCTTTGGCGTTCCTTCTGGCAGTGCCATGGCTGCAGTTCATGCCGGCCTCTGCGCCCGAGGTACGCCCCGTACCGCAACCCGAGGGTTGGCGGCGAGGCGTGCCTCCGCAGGGCCGCGCGGGGGGCGGAGGCGCAGGTGCAGCCCAGCTCCATGTCTCGGGGGACGCCAGCTGCCCACCCTCGGCGACTGCACAAAGGGTACGGCTCGGAGCGCGCAGCATACCGTGGAGGTGCGCATCAAGAAACCAACAGCTTTTCGCCAGGGCACCCTGGGTTTCTTCGGTCCGCGTGCTGCGCGGTGACTTCCCGCGGCCGTTGGGAAGCTGCTGCGTTCAGGGTGCTCCAAGGGCTCCCCTCAGGTGCACCTCGCGCGCGGGGTTTCAGAGTTGGGTTTCTTGCGATGGTTTCTTGCGACCGCGCCAGCACTGTATTTCAAGCAACGGCGAAGCGTCCTGGTTTGCCTCTGGACCTACGAGAGAATGTTCTAAGGACTTTTGTGGTTTGCACGAGATGTTCTTAGAGCACTTCTGGCTGCCATTGCCTTGAAACACACCGGCTCTCCATGTTCTCAGAACATTGTTTTTGTTTCGGCTGACCATTGCGTTTGGGGAGCACCTGCATGGGGCAGGTCCGCACTCATGTGGCGTGAGAACTTCCAAAATGTTCCATCGAAGCAACTCATGTACCAGATGTACTTCGCCGTCCCAAGGGTTACGCTGGGGTGCGGTTTGCGATTGGCACCGTTGGGGCCTGGCGGTCACGACATTGTCCTCGTCGGGCCTCCTCGGGGCGCGGCGGAGAGCTCTGTCGAGGTCCTCGACCGCCCCCCGAAGGTGCACCGTGCTGGTCGCAAACCGCACCCTTTGCAAACCGCACCCTTCGGAGTCGCCGACACCCGCACCGGTCCACGGTCGGGGCCCATCTCTCGGCGGCCGCAACAGAGGCCCAGACGTCGAGCGTCTCGAGAAGAGCGAGACTCTGGTTTTGCATCGTTTTCTGCCTTTCGGGGCCCTTAACTGGCCCTGCCAGCCCAGCGCGCTCCTCAATAATTAGGGGAGGTCGCTCCTCTGGCTTCTCGGCGCCAGGAAAACCAGGGGCTCATTTTTGGGACCTGCCTGGGGCCCACCTAGCAGATCCGATCGACTCGAGTTCGATTATAGTTCGCCTCTAGCTCGAATCTAGCTCGACTCAATCTCGACCCAAGCCGACGGACGTTCGTCGCAGTGAGTTGCTCCAGGAAGGCCCCCAGAACGAGCATCTAACCTTGCCACTAAGCCCGCAGCCCCCCCCGCTTGACAGAACCCCCCACGCAGTCCAATCCGTTCTACCTTGCGCTCACGAAATCATCCAGAGCATGAGCGCTCGTGGCCTGGTCGGGAGGGCATGTGCCGTAGGTTCGCGTCGTGTCGACACGGCTGCGAACCCAGCGCGGGCGTTCAGGGTTGAACACCCGTCGTGGCCCAAAATCGGCCAACATGGAACAATCTGGCGACCGAATCGCCGCCGATCATTGAACGTTGAACGATCCACGCGGTGTCAGGAACCAGCGCACAGGTCCTTACGACACTGAGCGGACGAATAATGGTATGAAATACATGTGTCCGCCATCGGGGCCCCCCGTCCCAAGTCGGCTGGAAAGTTTGTGTATTGTTACGAACTTCACAGCCGCCCTGGGACAGGCGTCCCCGATGGCCCAAAAAGCTTGACCCTGTGCCATTCTTAGTACGCTGAAGCACGAGCCTGCCGCGCACACGCGTCCAGGGCCCAGGGTCGGCAAGGCCCTGACCTGTGCAGGTGGACAGCGGGCGTCCTCCTGTCTGTCGCACGGACCGCTTGCGCTCGACCGGGCCAAGCGGCTGCCGCAGGGCGTCGCCGCAGCGCTCGCGCAGGGCCGCGCCCGCTGCCAGGGCGGCGGCGCCTCCACGCTGCGGGAGGCGCAGGCTGCGGAGCTGTCGTCGGGTGAGGATCAGCAGCTGCAGCTTGCAGACTGCAGCAGCAGCACGGGCAGCAGGATGAGGATGAGTCGTTACCCTTCGGTCGTTGAAGATAGGTATTCTGGGATTCCCAGATCCCAATCTACTTCAAGCGCCTTCCTGCTCCAAGAATCGATCTGCTTTTGCTGCGTTATGTTATTATCTGGGAGGGCCTGAGCCCAATGTACTCTATCCGCCTTCCTGCTTCATGCTTTTACTTACGTCTTCCGACCGACGTGTACGCTGGGTTTTGCCCACCTGCCGGATTATGCTCTTTCTTATTCCTGCTTCTAGTCATCATTTTTAGCCATGTCTGCTCCAGTTTTGCGGGGCCCGCAGGCTTCCCCGCGTCTCAGGGGGAGGGCGAGGAGGGGCATTCTTCTCTGTGATTATCCGTCCTCCTGATCCGCTTCCTTCGCCTCCTTCCCCTCGACCCTCCATCTCGTCTTCCTGACCATTCTCTAGCCCATACCTGATCCCACCCTCGTACGGCCACGACAGCGGCCACGTCGACGACGGATGATGACGACGACGGCGGCGACGACGACGACGACGTCGACGACGACGACGACGACGACGGCGACGACGACGACGACGGCGGGTCGGCGGCGGCGGCGGCGGCGGCGACCAGAACGACGACGACGACGTCGGTGGCGGCGACGTCGGTGGCGACGACGACGGCGGCGGCGACCGTGGCTGCGGCGACGACAGCGGCGGCGACGGCGGCGGGAAACGCCACCCCGCGCAAGAGGCCGCGACCCGCAAGAGGCCCGCCGCCGCTGCGGGGGGAGCCTCCGCCGGCGCCGCTCCAGCGAGGCGGCGGGCTGCCGCGGCGGCCGAGGCGCCCAGGTGCGTCTCGAAACGCCGGCGGGTCGACAAGAGCGACCTGGCGGCGCCCACCGAAATCCCTCCGCACGAGCTCACCCTGAATCAGCTTGCCCAGCTGATCTGGAGGTTCGCTTTCTACTGAAGCGCGCGCGGCGGGGGCGCCGGGGAGGGAACGTGATGTCTCAGAGGAGGCAGGGATTTACCGATGCCACTGTTCGTCCTGGAGAGCCGTCGTCGACAAAGCTGAATTCTCCTCGAAATTCTTGTCATAACGTTGTTGGCTTCTCAGCACGGTCGAAGGAGAGCACCTTAGGGATCGCACCTCCAGTTCCCGCTCCTACGTCTCCTTTTCTTTATCATCTTTCCTCCGGCTCCCTCCTGCTCCCTCCCGGCTAGGTTCAAGAGGCTGCCTGCCTGCATCGGATTCCTCCTCCTCCTCCTCCTCCTCCCCCTCCTCCTCCCCCTCCTCCTCCTCCTCCTCCTCTTCCTCCTCCTCCTCCTCCTCCTCCTCATCCTCCTCCTCCTCATCCCTCCTCTCTTCTCTTCGTGAGTCTGTTTCGCCTCCTTCCCTGTTGTATTCGCTGCGGGCTCCCCAGGAAACAGCTGCAGAGGTCATTTGGTGGATCCGGCCAAGAAAAGAAAACAAGAGAGCCTCGAGGTGCTCTTCAGCTTCAGACGCGTTGGCGCAGCTCCTCCTCCCTCTCAGCCCTTTTCCTTCTCCCTCTCTCCTTCTCCCTCTCTCCTTCCCTCCCTCTTTCCTTCTGCCTCTCTCCTTCGCACTCTCGTCCCTTCTCCCTCTCCCTCTCTCCTTTTCCCCCTCTCATTCCCTCCCTCTCTCCTTCTCCCTCTCTCCTTCTCCCTTCGCCCTCTTGTCCCTTCTGCCTCTCTCGTTCCCTCCCCCCCGCCTCCCTCATCCTGTCTCCTCTCCTCTCTTCCTCCCGGCCAACACGTGTTGCTCCCTGTCCTCTTCTGTGCTCCCTCTCCTCTCCCGGCAACTTTTGCTCCAATGGACCAACAGGCAGCGGCTAGTTTTAGGTCGGGCCTGTCCCTCTACAGGAGGAAAATTCAAAAATAGTAGGAAAATAGTCTGGGGACGATGGTTTGACTATTTTTGAGTGTCCTTTGTGTATTGGCTGACAGTTTCGCATACTGTTGTGGAATTTGCCTGCAGGACATGAGGGAACTGTGTTAGGACTGTTCCGCCTTCGAACCCGCAGTTTGGCCTGCAGGACATGCCCGACCCAAGGCTAGTTACTTAATCCCTCGATTGTTTGATGGAAAGGGGGCGAGGATAAGGAGGGTTGGGCAGCCCTGTTCGCGGAGTGCGACGACGGAATTGACACATCTGTAGGGATAGCGCGAATTTGGACATTTCCAGACGCGCTGTAGGTGCATGTCGCTTTCATCCCGAATTTGGCGCCGCATTTCAACTGCCACCGCCTGCGGCAAGCTGTGGACGACGACAGTGGTTGCCTTTTTCCCTAATAGCGTTTCGCCAGAGGGTTCTGCAAGAGGTCGAAGAATCCTTCCACCAGAACCTCTACAAGGGGGGGCCGGGGGGAGGCGTCTCACAGGTCCGGCGGCGGTCCAGAACGGTCCGGAATCGACTCACTATGGTTCTCTAGCTCGATTTGGTCCAGAAGTGAAGCTCACTATGTATTTTGGTTCGACTTGGTCCAGAAATGAGGCTCACTGTTGTCTTCTGGCCAGATTTCAGCCCTCCCAGATCCAGAAATCAGACTCACTACATTGTTGTGGCTCGACTTCCTTTCAACCGAGTCTCCACACGGGGGTCGGAGATGGCGTCTCACCGCTCCAGCGGCGGGGTCCGCGCTGCCTGGGCAGGCTGCAACCATGTGTTTTCATGCGTCCAGGCCGCCCAGAAGGATATCTGTCATGGTAGTCCCGCGCTGGAACCACGTGTCTTACGCGTCTAGGCCACTCTGGTGGGGGTATTTAACATCAGGGCTGGACCTAAACAGCGTTTTGGCGATTTCGTGGGCCGTTTTCGTTTCGATTTCGTTTTTTTCGGTAAAGGCGGATCGAAAACAAAACGAGGGAGAACTAAAACAACACGAAAACGAAAAACACCGTTTAGACGCAGCCCTGCTTTAACATGGCTGTCCCGAGCTGGAACCAAGTGTTGTCACGTGTCCAGGCTACCCAGGGGGGTATCTCACATGGTTCCAACACCCCTGAGGGGAGCCGCCGAGGGGTATGACACGGTCCCGCTCGCGGCCGTGTTGTGGGGATGTCTCAAGCGGTTTGCTTGTTTTCTGCCCCAACATCCTTCGCTTGGAGAGCAGATCGTGAGGATGTCTCAGGCGGGGCGCTGGTTTCAGCACCCCTAAGGGGAGCCGCCGAGGGGTATGACACGGTCCCGTTCGCGGTCGTCTTGTGGGGATGTCTCAAGCGGTTTGCCAACATCCTTCGCTTGGAGAGCAGATTGTGAGGATGTTTCAGGCGAAGCGCCGAAAGTCTCCCAAGTCTCCCAAGTCTGTCAGGTCTCCTAAGTCGCCCAAGCTTCCCAAGCTTCCCAAGTCTCCCAAGTGCCCCATGTCTTCCATGCCCCCCCACGTCCCTAAAATCCCCCAAGTCCCGCAAGTCTCCCACGTCTTCCATGTCTCCCAGCAGGAATACCAAGTTTCCTAACTCTGTCAAGTCTCCCGAGGCGACCAACTCTCCCAAGCTTCCCATGTCGCCCAAGTCTCCCCTGCCTCCCAAGGTTCGCAAACCTCCCAAGTCTCCCGAGTCTCCCGAGTGTCCCATGCCTCCCAAGTCTCCGAAAGTTCCCAAGGCTCCCAAGGCCCCAAAGTCTACCACGTTTCCCAAGTCTCCCACATTCCCCGAGTCTCCCAAGTCACCCAAACCTCCCACGTCATCGCTATGGCCTATGAGGAGGAGGAGCGAAGAGGATGGGCGCATATCCAGTCGTATTCAAACCTCACGCTCACTGATACTCATGCACATCGGTGTTTAAACGTCTTCGCCGGACCTGTCGACCACGTGGACGCGCTCTCATAGTCAGGCATTCATAGAGAAACCTTCACAATTGCATCTCATAAAAAATGAGATGCACATGGGGAGCGCCACGCAGTGAGTAATTTTCTATGGTTTTTGTAGGATTTAGGCATTCTCGCTTCCCCCGCCCAAGAGGCCCCCAGGAAGCCCCAAGAGACCCCCAAGGGGCTCCCAGGGAACACCCAAGAGGCCCCCCAACACACCCCAAGAAAATCATGTCCCCTGAAAACCTTCCAGGGACATGGTTCATCATGGGCCCGAGAGTTCCCGGAGGCCCCCGAGGAGCCCCCAGGGAACGCCCAAGAGACCCCCCAACACACCCCAACAAACCATGTCCCCAGAAAACTTCCCGGGGACATGTATCATCATGGGCCCGCGAGTCCCCAGAGGCTTCGAAATACCATCATGCTACAGTCTGGGAACTTGATTGGGAACATGGCTGATCGCCTTTACGCGGCCCTCCGCAGATCGTTTCGCACAAAGTCGCCCCAAGTGCCCTCTTGAATCGACAACGACGACGACGACGAAACGACGACGACGACGACGACGACGACGACGACGACGACGACGACGACGACGACGACGACGACGACGACGACGACGACGGCGCGCCCCAATCGGCGACGACGACATTACGACGACGACGACGACGACGACGACGACGACGACGACGACGGCACGCCCCAACAGGCTCCCCAAGACGCCCCAAACCCATGCTCCCAGAAGGCCTTCTGGAAAACCGATTCACACGGCCTCCGCCCTCCTACACAACCATTTTCTTCGAAGGCTTTTCGGAATGCAGATTGGCATGCGTGGGTTGTGGTCCACTACTTCGGTGGAGCAGCAGTGAATTCGTCAAGGCCTGGAGCCTGCTAGAACCTGAGCGCGCGCGAAGCGCGGGCGATGGTTTGAGTGTGTGTATATATAGATATATGTATATCGCAGCTGTCACAAATCAGGGCTGAGCAGAGGCCAGGGGTCGGACGTACTCATATTATGGCTCGAAGTTATTGGGGCGCGCCTCCTCGTCCAGAGCTCAACCGCGGATGCTGGGCGCCTTCCGCGTCGCCGGGCCGTGGCTGGGGCAGCTTGGCGCGGCCTGTGTGGCGAGGCCGCCGCCGTGCCCAGCCTGCCCAGCGTGCCCAACGGTTGACGCCCGCTGCGAGCCGCGTTGCGGGGCGCGCCTGGCGTGCCCGCAGTGCGCCGGCTGCCCGGTTCTGACCTGCAGCGCGCCGCCGCAACTGACGTGCCTGGCGTGCCCCGCGGCCGACGCGCCCTCAGCCGCGCCCTGCCCCTCGCCGGCCCCGGCCGACGGCTGGGGTTTCGAGGTCGGGTTCGCCCTCGGCCTGCTCGCTGGCGCGCTGCTGGCGGTGGCGCTCGCGGTTGGGCTGCTGGCGCTGCGGCGGCTCGTGGCCTACACGGTCGCGGCCTTGTTCCTTGGGCGCGACCGCGAGTTTGACGAGCTCGGCGAGGAGGCCCGTGCGCAGGTGAAGGTGCTGCGGCAGCGTGCTCTCGCTCTGCAGTGATGGCGGCGCCGGGCCCCCTGGCGAACGTGTCGCTCGCAGCCGCGGGCGTGTCGGTCGGAGATTTCGTCGGCGTGCAGTACAATGTGGGCGGGAGAGCGCTCGTCCACGAGCGCGTCGTGGTGGCGCTGAGCCCGGCCACTCCTGGCACTGCGTCGATCATGACGGTAGACGGCGATGAAGACGACGACCACTTCATCGGCAGCGCCGACGTTGTCTATTGGGACCAGGCGGTGCGCCAGGCGGGGTCTCCCCCTGGGCACCAGCGGCGCGCTACTACTGCTTTCGGGCGATCCCCACGCGGCGGCGGCGCTCACGGCTGCCGCCGGCCGAGCCTGCACCCGCCTGGGCCTCGTGGCGCCCGCCGGCACTCTGGTGCCCAACGTCGCGGGGCGGGCGCCCGCGGTGGCCGCTCCCGCGGGCGGCGCGCCTGGCCCTGTGGGTGGCGGCCTTTGCGCGCCCTTCAAGCTGCGCTCGGGGGCCCTGCCGGCGGGGCCGCTGGGGGCGCGCTCGCACTGGCGCCAGGCCTCCGCGCCGCCGCGGATGCCTGGTCCTGCCGTTCGCGTTCTTTTGGCGCCCGGCGCGCTGCCCGTGGATGCCGCTGCCTCTGGCGCCGCGCCCCCTGCTGATGGACCCGCGCCCGCTGGCCTGCCGGCTGCGGCACCCCCCGCCAGCCCAGGCGGCGATGCCCGCATCTTCGCCGCCGCGAGCGACATGCGGGGAGGGCCCCAAGTCATGGTCGACCGGATGGTCGAGCTCCCGCGGCCCGACTGGCCAGCGCGCGGCCCGCGGACGCTGTTGTGGGCATTGCAGTGGAAGGCGCAGCGGTCCGGCACGCCGACGGCGCTGCAGCGTTGGTTGGCGGAGACTGGCCTAGGCCTAGGCCCCGAACCCCCCGGCACGGAGATCCACCAGGCGGGGCGCACGGCGTTGGAGTCGGCCGTCACCTACGACCAGGAGCATGCCGCGGACCTGGCACACCTGGAGCTCGTCGCTCGCTCAGCGCAGGTGCAGGTGGAGCGCCAGCCGGTTGCTCCCAGCGAGGCGGGCATTGCGGATGACACTGTCATGGTGGGCTCGCAGGAGCTCGACGGGCCGGCGCGCGCGCGCCCCGCCCTGCGCGACCATCTCGCCCAGGAGCTGCAGCGGGAGGCGGCGGAGGCGAAGGAGAGGCGGAAGGCGCGCGGGGGGCGCGCCTTCGCTGGCGGCGCGCCCGGCCAGCCTGGCGCAGGACGCGGGAGGGGGCGGCGGGGCGGCCGCGGCGGCCGGGCCGGCGGGCCAAACGCAGGGCCGATGCCTGACCCGCCCGGAGGCGGATGGCCCGGCCAGCCGCCGCCCCTGTCCCCCATCGGCCTCCGCGGAGCCCGCCAACAGCACCGCTCTCGGCCCAGGGCCGCTGGAGCATCGCGAAGACTCGGGAGCGGCCAAGAGGGGGTGAGGACTAGGTGGGCGCGCGTATCACGATTCAGTTCCTGATGAATCTTGAAACTAAACAACCAGAGCGTTCGTTTGCAGCCGCTGCGCAAGATCGCTGTGCCCGCGCAGTCGGCAGGCATATTTCACCAGTGGCGCAATGCGGACTTGCCGCGTTGCAAATGTTTGTTGTTCTTGCGTTTCGTTGCACCGTGGCTCCGAGCGCCCCGTGGCTCGTGGCTCCATGGTCCCGTGGCGGCCCGCGGTTTCTCGGAATTCTGGCCCGCGACCTCGACGGCCGCGTGTCCCCGCGACGCCGCGGTTCTCGGCGCCGCGGCGCATTTGCGACGGGGCCGATCGCGAAAACCTTGCGGTGCCAAATGGTGGTGCTCAATCCGCTCGTTTGCCGCGAGTTCCGAGAGAACACGCGACGCTGGCCATGTCAATCCCGTAGAGACCACGGCACAGACACGAGCTTGCCGGGAACGCACGGCAACGGCCATGAGTTCTGAGAGAACGCATGGCATTGGCCATGGACCCCCAGCAACTACATGGCACGGACACGAGTTTGCCGTGAACACTAGGCAACGATCAAGGGATCCGAGAGAACACATGGCACTGGCCATGACATTCCCAGAAACCCCACGGCACGGACACGAGTTTGCCAGGAACACCTGGCGCTGGCCAGAAGTTCTGCGAGAACACATGCCAAGGGTAGAGAAATCTTTCTTGCATCCAAGAGTCACAATCCAAAACAATATCAAACTCCCCATGGGATTCGGGCGGGCATGAGTTCTGCGAAGACACATGGCCAGGCCACGCGGTTCACCGACGCACCTGCGCATTTTCAGATCCCCCCCCCCCCCCTCTTCCCCGCATCCATCCCGCCTTCCCCCCCTGCCTCCTCGTTCCCGTGGCCCCCGGGGCCATGGCGCGCGGCCCGTTGATCATGGCCCGTGGCCCGCGGTGTCGCCAGTGCCTGGGCCGTTGAGCCCATTTGGTGCCAGGCGGCAGGTATCTGGCAACGCGCGTCGTCACGGCTGCGAAATGCTTGGAATCTGAGGGCCCCAGGGGTTGCGAAGACGCGATTCGGTCGGCTGAATGGCACGTCCAATAACGCCTTGTTGATCGCCCTATGCGCGCGCGTTCTGAGGTTAGTTCGTAGCGACTGGCCTCTGGTTGCGTTGCGATTGGCGTGCGTTCGCGCTGCTTGCGACTGGGCCGCAATCTGGCTGGCTCGATTTGGTTCTGAACTTATGATTATGGCGGTCAGCGGGCTTCTATGATATCCCATTGCGTTCGCGCGTGCGTAGCCCTGCGAGCTGCGCGCAGCACATGCCTCGAGCCATAATACCCCCCCCCCTTCGCCGCCCCCTCTTTTGCCGCCCCCGAAAGACGTCTCCGATCTCGACGGGGCCCTTCGGGAGCTCGAACTCCGCGCCGGTTCCGCGCCGCGCCCTTGCGGCGGCGGGCCCGCCGCGCTGCGGGGGCGGAGGCGCCGCGCGCATCGCGAGCCCGAGGAGGCGCGGCAGTTGCGGGCGGAGGCGCGCCCGCACGGGGCAGTGCACGGATCCTGCCACGCCCCGCTCGCTGCCAAATTTTCGCCGCCTGCCTCGGCGCCGCGATGGATCGCAACATGATGGCGCTTCCCCCTGCGCGAGGGCGCCTCGGCAACATGGGGCAATTTTTCGCCGGAGAAGAGTGGTCTTCTGAGGGTCATCTCCAACGCGCGCCTGGCCAACTGCACGTTCATCGATGCGCCCCGCACCTAGTTGACATCGGCATCGGCTTGGGGGCGGCTCGAGGCTGGCGACGTTCGGCCCCCCATCGCCTCGGCAGACCTCGACGCGGCCTTCTGCCGCGCGCGGGCCCCCGACGAGATGGGGGAGCTCTTCGCGCTGCTGCAGATGCCCGGCAAGTACCTCGCATCGCACGGGATCACGGTGGACGGCGCGAGGGATGAGTCGCTCCTGCCGCCCCAGGTCTCGGCGCTGCAAATGGGCCCCAGCTGGGCCTGGCACTTGTGCCGGGCGGCGCTGGAGACATCGCTGTCTCGCGCGGGCCCCCCTCGGAGTGCCTGATCTTCGACGGCCGCCGCGGCTGCCAGCCCGCGAGCGACCCCGACTCGGTCGCGGGCGCCGGCTGCGCCCTCGTCGGCGCCCCAAAGACGGTGAGCGAGCGGCTGCAGGCCATCGCCGACGACCTGGCGCGCCACGGGCCGGCCGTGCACGAGCTCGAGCCGCCTTCCCAGGACCGCCACTTTTCGGGGCTGTCGCTGCGCGAGGAGCGCCGGGGCCCGCGACATCTGGCGACTCCGCGCGGCCATCCGCGCTGCGCTCCGCAGGCAGGTCCTCAGCGGCGTCTTGATGCGCGCGCTCGCCGGCCACATCCCCTGGGCGCTGCTGCTGCGGAGGGTGCCGCTGTGCATCCCGGGGACCGCCTGCGCCTGCATCGAGGCCGCCGGGCCTATTGCCGCCCAGCGCTGGCCCGCTGTCCGTCGCGAGCTCTAGCTAAGTCACGATACGCTGCCGCTCTGCGCGGCTGATCTTGGCGCCCCGTGGCGCGGTCGAGTTGCTGGCGCGAACGCTTCGCCTTGCAGGCTGGGCGTCGCTGCTCGTCGGGCCCAGAGGACCTCGCGGGCGCCGCTGGGAGAGTCGCTGAAAAGTGGAGACGCAAGGTCGAAGGCGGAGCTGCAGGCGAGGCGTAGGACGGTCGGCCTCAACATCGATAACTCGCCCGAGCAGCCGTCGCGGCCGACCAAGGGGGCGACGCCCTTCCATCGGGAGACGGGATCGCCGAGGGCTCGCGGGTAGAGGGCCTCCTTGGCAGGGCCCCCGAGGGCCCGTTCGAGTCACAGTCGACGAGGGCGCCTGGGGACACCGACTGATCATGGACATGAGGCCCGCGGTGGGCTTCGACGAGGGCCCCAGCTCACTTCGTCCGGGGGCCTGCTTGCGGCCCCGTTGCTGCCGCGTACGTCGACGGGAGGGCCAACGTCTTAGCTCTCGAGGAGGAGGCCCTTGTGCTTGGGCATCGTTACCGATTTCGGTCTACATCTGCGTTCGGCCATGGTTTTGTCGCCCCCTCCGACATCTCGCCCCTGGACTTGACCGCGGGCAAGGTCCGCGCTCGCAGTAAACGCCCCCAGAGCACGCTGCGCAAGATCTGCGCGCTCTCCGTGGCCACTGGCTCAACCCCGACAGCGTGGCGGGCCCCCATCCGAGTCCAACCCCGCGGACGCGCTCGCTCAGCCGCGGGCGCGCTGGCTGGTTCTCCGGCAGTGGGCCGGCGCCGCAGGCCCTCTGGCGGCGGGCTGCTGGCCCCATGCGCGGCCGCATGCGTGGGCGCTGGCGCTGGCCCTGACCGCGGCAACAGCTCGCCGGCCGGCCGCCCTGGCGCCCTCGGCGCCGCGGGCCGATCGCGCGCGGCTCGCGGCGGAGACGACCGCGGCGGCGGGCCTGTCGCTGTCGGAGCGGTTGGCGGCGGGGAGTTCGACTGTTCACCTCTACCGAGGGGTTTTGGCCAGTTTCGTCGAGTTCTGCGTCGGGCGCCGCCTGGATTGCATGACCCACGCGGGCCTGGACGAGGCGCCGGTGCAGCGCGTGGGCAGCGAGTTCCTCCTCGGCGGCGGCGGCAACCAGGGGGGCGCCCTCCCGGCGTCGGTGGCGCACTTCCTCGGCTCGTTCCACAAGCGGGCCTCCCTGCTGCTGCCGAGGGCTCACCGCGCTGCAGCGGCGCGGGCGCGGCGCGCGCCTGCGCGCACTCGGCTGCCGCTATCGCGCCGCGCGGCGATTGCCTTGGCCGGCCTCCTGATCCACGACGGGTGTCCCAGGCAGGCCCTCTGCATCCCCGTCACGTTCGTCTCGTGCCTCAGGCCTGGGGGGGCGGCGAAGCTGCGCGGGCGCCACCTGATCTCGCCGTCGGAGGCGGCGGGCGCCAGCAACCAGTTCTTCGGGCCGCTCCTGCGCGAGAGTGGACAGGAACCAGGCAAGACGGACACAAACGACAAGAGCATCCTCTTCGTCCGCGAGACTTGGCTCACCCCCTGCTGCATGCTCTGTAGCAGGCCACGGCGCCGTCAGAGCCGCTGCGGAGATAGGGCGTGGACCGCCTGGGCGCGCTGTTCGGCCATGCCTGCTGTCGGCTCTCACTGGGTCGGCTTCGCCCCCGCCCGGGCACCTTGCGCCGCGGGAGGGCCTCGGACGACGTGCTCTCTCAGCGGCGCCAGCGGGCCGAGATCCTGCGTCGCGGGCGCTGGCGGACCACGGAGAGCCTGAACCGCTGCGCCAAGGAGACCGAGCTCCTGGGCGAGTCCACCTGGATCCCGCCCGAGGCCATGGAGCTCGGGGCCTTCCTCGAGACCAATCTTGAGGCGCTGATCCTCGGCAGCCCCCACGACTGGCCGGCGACTTGCCGCGCCTCCGCCCGCTGCCCCGGGAAAGACTGCCGGGCGCAGGAGGCCGCCTTCGCAAGCGGCCCTCGGCCCTGGCGCCGGCGAGAGCAGCCGGCCGGCACGCGCAGCGAAGCGGCGCCTGAAGCGCCCGCATCGGCGCGCCGCCGCGACAGGCCGGGTGCTTCGGCGCCGCCTTGTCTTGGAGGGCGGCGCAGCCCGCTGGGGGGCCACGCGCTGCCTGCCCTCGTCGCCACTGTCGTCGTCGGCTGGATCCAGGCGCGCCCAGCGGGGGCTATCTGGCTGGGCGCCCCATGCATCAGCTGGACGCGGGCGCTGCGTCGCCCTCTCAGGTCTGACTGCCATCCGTTCGGACTGCCCGACCTCTCGGCCGCTGAGCAGGCCCGCGCGGCCGCCAGCAATGCTACTGCGCGCATGACTGTCGCAATAGTTCGTGAGTGTATTGCCGCCCGCGTTCTTGCATTTCACGAGAATCCGCAGACCTCGCAGAACTGGCCCTGCCATCCTCTTGCTGGTCTCTGTCGCAAGCTGCCCTGCCAGAAGTCTGCGTTGCACCAGTGTCAGTGCGGAGGAGAGTTCAAGAAAGCCACCGCTGCCATGTCCTGGGGCGCCGGCTCCATGCGTTCGCTACAGAAAGTCTATTCGGGCAAGAGAGGCGCTCGCAGTCGCGCAGGCAGTCATCGCGTCATCCTAGAAGGGAATGATGAGCAAGGGCGAAAGCGCACAGCCGTCGCTGCCGGGTACCCTCGCCGTTTTGCCCAGGCTGCCGCTCGCTGCATCATCGAAGCGTTACATATCCAGCCCGGCCTCGCTCTCCAGTCTCTTGCCACGAGATGGCCAGCCCCTTTTTTTCTTGAGCGCGGCAAATCAATGCGCGCGCGGCTTGCGGCCAGATGCACCTTCGGGATCGGGCGAGGTCCGCGCGGGAGGTTCTCGCGAGCGCTATCGCGCTCCTCGTCGTGCCTCTGCCGCCCCTCTCGCGTTCGGCCCCGGTCAACGCCCGGCCCCGCGCTGTCCCAGGTGGAGAAGGTTGCTTGGCCCGGGGGCCGAACATAGCCATGCATGTACATGTATATATTATATATATATATATATATATATATATATATATATATATATATATCTATACACACACACCCACACGACACCCTTCGGGCGATGGGGAGGTCGCGGGGGGGGGGAGAGGGGGGGGACCAACATCTGACTCAATCGATCTCACTTTCGATCTCAGCGGGGCACCACGGGACACTTGTCGATTTCACTACTGATGTCACTCAACGGGACACCGCGCGGGACACCGCGGGACACCTCTCGATCTCACGATCGGTCTCACTATCGATCTCACGATCGATCTCATTCAACGGGACACCATAGAACACCACGGGACACGTCGGGACACCACATCGATCTCACGATCGCTCTCATTCAACGGGACACCACGGGACACCTGTCGATCTCACGATCGATATCACTGTCGATTTCATTTTTTGGGACACCTCGGAGCACCGCATCGATCCCAGTATCGATCGCACGATCGGTGTGTTTATCGATTTCGCTCAACGAGACGCCACGGGACACCTGTCGATCTCACGATCGATGTCGGAGGTGAGGGGGTGAGATCGAAGTGGAACGGAGAGCCCCCCCACCGGGAAATCGATTTCGGTTTCGTGTTCGTGCGTGCCGTGCGTGCGGGCGAGGCGAAGCTGCGTGGGCGGGCGAGAGAAAGTCTCCTGTGGCTGAGGCGCGGCCGGACCAAATGTCTCCCTTCCGGGCGGCCGGGGCCCGCGGTGTCCCGCCGGTGTCCCGCTGGTGTCCCCTGTGGCTGAGGCGCGGCCGGACCAAATGTCTCCCTTCCGGGCGGCCGGGGCCCCGCGGTGTCCCGCCGGTGTCCCGCTGGTGCCCCGTCGGTGTCCCGATAATGATGATGTTGATGATGATCATGATGGTTGTGTTGATGGTGATGATGATGATGATGACGATGATGGTGTCCTGGTGATGATGATGATGATGATGATGATGATGATGATGAGATAACGATGATGTGTGATGTTTTGCCCGTTGTTGCTGATGATGATGTTGGTAATGCTGATGCTGCTGATTATGATTATGGTATCCCGATGATGATGATGATTATGACGGTGGTGATGATGATGGTGATGGTGATGGTGTACTGATGATGATATTGATGATGATGCTGGTGATGATGATGCTGCTGATGATGATGGTGTCCCGATGATGTTGATGATGCTGTTGATGATGATGATGATAATGTGCTGATGATGATGATGGTGTCCCGATGTTGTTGATGATGTTGACGATGACAACGATGGTGACCATGATGGTGCGATGATGATGATGCTGATGCTGATGGTGATGGTGATGATGACGATGGCTGTGTCCCGCTGGTGATGTTGATCATGTTGTTGATGATGATGAGATGACGATGATGTTGATGTTTCTGCCCGTTGTTGTTGATGATGATGTTGGTAATGATGATGCTGCTGATGATGATTATGGTATCCCGATGGTGATGATTATGACGGTGGTGATGATGATGGTGATGGTGTACCGATGATGATATTGATGATGATGTTGGTGATGATGCTGCTGCTGATGATGATGGCGTCCCGATGATGTTGATGATGCTGTTGATTATGATGATGATAACGAAATGATGATTGATGATGGTGTCCCGATGGTGTTGATGATGTTGACGATGACAATGATGGTGACCATGATGGTGTCCCGATGATGATGATGCTGATGGTGATGATGACGAAGGCTGTGTGCCGATGATGATGACGATGTTGCTGACTATGATGAGATGATGATGGGGATGATGATGATGATGGCCTGATGATGATGGCGTTGATGATGATGACGATGATGATGATGATGATGATGACGACAGTGTCCCGATGACGATGAAGATGATGGTGTTGGTGATGATGATGATGATGATGATGACGTTGAATGTTAGATCGATTGTGATATCGGTAGTGATATCGATAGTGAGACCGAGCGAATGAGATATATCGAGTGAGATCGATTGTGAGATCGATCGACTGAGATCGATCGAGCGAGACCGATAGTGAGATGGATAGTGAGACCGATCGAGTGAGACGCTGCATCCTCCCCCCCCCGAACCTCCTTATCACCCGAAGGATGGTCGTATAGGTATCGATCTCTCTTTTTGGGACAACACGGGACACCTCAGGGCACCACATCGATCCCAGCATCGATCTCACGATCGATACCATTATCGATTTCACTATCGATGTCACTATCGATCTCACTATCGATCTCACACAACGGAACACCGCGAGCCACCGCCGCACGGACGGAAGGACGGGCGGGCGGGGGAGAATAATTTGTCTTGACTCGCCCTAGCAACGGCGGACACCACGGGACACCGCGGGACACCGCGAGCCACCGCCAGACGGGCGGGCGGGAGAGAGATAATCATTTGTCTTGACTTCGCCCTAGCAACGGCGGGTTCATTCCTCTCGCGTGCCCGCGCAGCTTCGACTCGCCCGCACGCGCAACACGAACGAAACGAAACGATGTCCCGGTTGGGGGTCTCCGTCACACTGCGATCTCAGCCCCCAATGTCCGATGCAGACATACGTACATTATACATGCATACGAACTTACATAAGTTCATGTGCATACATGCATGCATGCAAACACACGCGCACAGTCATACATACGTACGTACGTACGGACATACATACATACATACATACATACATACATACATACATACATATATACATACATACATATACAAGTGTACAATTAGAGTTGTGCGCGTGTACATATCGATACCTATACGACCACCCTTCGGGTGATAAGGAGGTTCGGGGGGGGGGAGGAACCAACGTCTCACTCGATCGGTCTAACTATCGATCTCACTATCGATCTCAGTATCGGTCTCGCTCGATCGATCTCCCTCGATCGATCGCACAATCGATCTCACTCGATCTATCTCACAATTGATTTGACTATCGATCTCACAATCGATCTCACAATCGATATCACATTCGGTCTCACTATCGATTTCACTATCGATATCACAACCGCTCTCACAATCAACGTCATCATCATCATCATCATCAACAACATCAACATCAACATCATCATCACCAACATCATCAAATCGGGACACCGTCCTCATCATCAACACCAACATCATCATCATCACGGTCATCAACATCATCGGGACACCACCATCATCATCATCACCATCATCACAATCATCATCATCAACATCATCATCATCATCAGCAGCATCGGGACACAGTCATCGTCATCATCATCAGCAGCATCATCATCGGGACACCATCATGATCACCATCGTTAGCATCATCATCATCTTCGGAACACCATCATCATCATCATCTCATCCTCATCATCGACATCATCATCATCATCAGCATCATCATCATCAGCATCATCAACATCATCATCAGCATCATCATCATCGTCGTCATCATCGGGGCACCATCATCATCATTAACAACATCAGCATCAATCATCATCATCATCATCATCACCATCGGGACGCCATCATCATCAACATCATCACAATCACCAGAATAATCATCATCATCGGGACGCCATAATCATCATCAACCTCATCATCATCAACATCATCATCATCGGGACACAATCATAATCAGCATCATCAACATCAACATCATCATACTCATCACCATCGGGACACCATCATCGTCATCATCATGATCATCAACATAATCATCATGATCATCATCATCCTCATCATCGGGACACCATCAGCATCATCATCATCGTCATCATCATCATCACATCATCATCATCATCATCATCGGGGCACCATCATCCTCACATCATCATCATCGTCATCATCATCATCAGCAGCATCATCATCATCAGCATCACCATCATCATCATCATCATCATCATCATCATCATCATCATCATCATCATCATCATCATCATCATCATAATCATCATCATCATCATCATCATCATCATCATCATCATCATCATCATCATCATCATCATCATCATCATCATCATCATCATCATCATCATCATCATCATCATCATCATCATCATCATCATCATCATCATCATCATCATCATCATCATCATCATCATCATCATCATCATCATCGCGGGACACCGCGGGACACCGGCGGGACACCGCGGGGCACCGCGGGACACCGCGGGACTTTCGCGGGACACCGGCGGGACACCGCGGGCCACCGGCCGCCCGGAAGGGAATCATTTGGTCCGGCCGCGCCTCAGCCACACGGGACTTTCGCGGGACACCGGCGGGACACCGCGGGCCACCGGCCGCCCGGAAGGAGAATCATTTGGTCCGGCCGCGCCTCAGCCACAGGAGACTTTCTCTCGCCCGCCCACGCAGCTTCGCCTCGCCCGCACGCACGGCACGCACGAACACGAAACCGAAATCGATTTCCCGGTAGGGGGGTTCTCCGTTCCACTTCGATCTCACCCCCTCACTTCCGATACATGCATACGTACACGCATAACACACCTATGTATATAACGTACCCAAGCCACCCATGGTGGTATCGAACATAGTTGTGCCGAGCTGGATCCACGTGTTTGTCCATGCCCGTACCTTACGAGGGGGGTCTAACATGGTTTCCCAAGGTTGGAACCACGTGTTTTACGCGTTTTACTTGGTTGCCCCGAGCTGGGAACAAGTATTTTCACGCATCCGAACTCAACTGGAGCGAGCGTATTTCTCACGCGCCGATGCTCCTCTGGAGCCGCGTTTCTGTTATGGTTTATTCGTTTGTCTGTCCGTCTGTCTGTCTGTGGGTTTGTTTGTCAGTCGGCGTGTCCGGGGGTGCTCTCAGCCCGGGAGGGCATCGGACAGCCCCCAGAGCGGCGCGACGCCACACCTCCCAGCGCCCTGGCGACATCAGCTCGCGAGGGATTCGCTCGGAGCTGGCACGGGCACTGCCTCGAGGCCCCGTGTCCCGATGTCGCCATCCGCGGTTCACGGTGGTGCACTCATGCCGGGGGGGGGGGGGAAGGCAGGGGGCGGGGGGAGTCTCCGCATCTGCCTTAAGCTGCACCTCGCCCTGGCGCCAGCCACGCGTCCGCGGCGTCGGCTGCGCCGGTGGGAGTTTGGTTGTTCCTGCTTTGCGGGCGGTCCAGCGTGGGCCACCTGACAGCTTGCCATCGCTCCGCCATTCATCCGGCGCCAGAAGTCTTTCCACGACCGAATCGTTGACGCCAAACGGCGCGGCCTCCTCGCGCACGACGATGAGCAGGCGCTCGTTCGCCTTGCTACCTTGGCCACGCCATGGGGGGGGACGAGAGCAGTCGGAAAAGTGGCAGGGGCGGCCGCTCAATCCAAAGTGTCTGAGGAGGATCATTGCGCCCAGACAAAAATGGGGAGGATCGGGGGAGTGCGCGTTCTGACCCAGGACCACACTCAGGAGCTGGAGCGCGCGAAACAGGGAGCGATGGGGCCCTCTTGCGAAGCCGAGGACCCCCTGGGCCCAGACCCTTTTTCGGAGCACGCCGCCAACAGGCTCAAACAAAACACGCTTGCGATGAACGGCGCCTGGGCCAGACCCGCGAAGGGGCGGCTCGCCAAGCGCAAGCGCTGCCCCGACGAACCCGCCATGAGAGCCGCGCCCGTGGTGGCGAAACACATGGAGGAGGTGCCTCGCGCTCTGGCCGCCGCCGCAGGCACGCCGCCGCATGCTGGAGGCTGAGAGATTGCCGTGGGCGGGCTGCGCGAGCGCCCCGGCCAGCCCACGCGCCCCGCGCCCATTGCCCGCCAGCTGCGCGACGCGAGTCTCGCCTCCCGTGCGCGATTTTGACGGGCGCGCCGCCCCCGATCGCGCGCCTATGAACGAACGCAGGGAACGCGCAATATGCCTGCTGGATCAGCAGGGCCCTCGAGCGCTCACGCCGCCAACCAGTATGCGTTAATACATACAGTCGGGGCGCTGAAGAAGAAACCCTTTTCGTTGGGGAGGGGATCGGTGTTCCTTGATAGGTGTACAGTTTGGCTTGGGTTGTCCTTCCGTTTGCCATGCGAAATCAAAACGCAATTTATGGGAACAAGGGGCCTCTTTCCTTATCTAGTGTTCCTTAGGTCAACGCCCCGACTGCAGTGGCGCTTACATACAGACAGACAGACAAACAGACAGACAGACAGACAGGCAGACAGACAGACATACATATGTGTATATATATATATACATGTCATAGATGTCGCCGAGCATAATTGCGCGCTTTGAGCAGTTCTCGCGCCCGGGCACAGGCGGAAGCACGTTGGCTAGCGGAGTCCGCGACGCCCCGAAGCGCGAAGCCGCCCGCGTTGCGCGCCAGCGGAAGTACTTCGCAGACCACATAATCAAGTTGAGCTTTTTCGGCAAACCGCCAGAGACAACGCAAACTACGTGATGGGAGGGCGGCCGCGGGCCCGACGGCATCCACCGGCGGCGCTGACGAGCCCGCCGTCAGCGGCAGTCTTTTCAAGCACGAGGACATGCTCAACATGCAGGACCGCGGCGCAGCGCGCGCCCATTGGACGCGGAGCGATGCGCCGCCCGCTGGCCGCTCACCCTTGAGCTCCGCGCGCCCTCCAGACGGCGGCGGAGGCCGCGCGCGCCAGCCTCCTCGGCGCCGCCTCCGCCGCGCCGCGCGGCGGGGCCCGCGAGACCGGTCGCCGGGTGAACGCGCGCGCGCGCGGGAGGAGCTGCGCAGTTACTGGGCGACACCAGCGACAGAGCCGCATGGACGGAGGGTCGGAGGACGACGGCGTTCTGCGGTCACGCGCGCAGGTGGCGCCGCGGGCGGGGCAGCCCGGCGGGGGGCGAGAGCGGCGCCGAGCCGCGGCCGAAGGCCGCGCGCTTCTGGGGGGCGGGGAGCGGTCAGCCGGGAGCTGCCCCTCGCTGGCGCCCTCCAGCCCGCCTTCCTGGCACGCGGGTGCATGACTAGCTTCGGCCGCCCCGACGCAGCGAGCCCCCTGACTGCCGGAATGGGCGCGCGGCGCGGAGAAGCGGCGCACGCGGCGCGCACCGGGCCCTTGCCTCACGCGTTTGGTCTCGGCGAGGACGCTCTCTCGCCGAGCTGGTTCACGAGGCGGTCGGCCCTGTAGCGCCAGACGCAAACTTGCTTGCAGACGCGCGGGCATTGGCCGAGCGCGTCGCCCTGGGCGCTTTCCACAATCACACGGTCAACCACGACCGCGACTGCACTGCCACTTGCATCAAGTATGCCAATGGGAAGCTCGCGGAGAAGGAGGTGTCGCAGTCGCGCGAGGTTCCATCCTGTTGGTCCTGGATCTTCCACGTTGCATCCATCGGCTGGAAGAGTAGATGGGCGCGGTGGCTGTGCTCGCCCACTCCCACCAGGAGCCCAGCGAACAGCGCCAGGGCAAGACTGCGCGCGGGCCCCCCGTCGCCACCCGCGACGACAACCACGGGGTTGTTTGGTTGGGCGGCAGCGGGCGCGGCAAGACGGACTCCGCTGTAGAAGTGGCCAAGCCGTTGGCCGAGTTCTTCGGCCCTGCCAGGCGCGCAGCCGCGGCGCAGTTCAATGCAGCGGCGCAGAATCTCAGAGACATGACTCGCGCGCGCTCCGCGGCGCCATCGAACCCCTTCTCGGCGACGCCTTTCAAACTGTCAGGGCGCACCAAAACCATCAGACGCAGAAGAAGATGGACCGATATCGATGGCCTCTGCGCCGCGCTGGCGGAAATGCCGCGCGCCGACGCCTTGCGGAGGGCACGCGGTCGCTTTGCGCGAAGCCCGAAGCGACGCGGGGGCGCGCGCTGTGCGCCGCGCAAGCTGCCCTCGAGAGATCCCTGCTATCCCCCGCCCGTGCCCAGCTCGGCTTTTTTTGCTGGGCCCCGTGGACAAACAGTCCTATGAGCACTTGAAAGCCCGGAAGCTCCTGCCGGACATCCCACGCGCGCTTGAGTTCATGAACGCAGAGCGGTGCGTTGACCCAGACTTGTCGCACATTCTCGAGACCACGCGCGCGAAGGGCGGCAAACTGATCAGGCGTCTTGGCCATGGTTAAAAGCACAGTCCGCCGCGAAGATGATCAGCGTCTGGGAGTCCATGAGATGCGCCGATTCATCGTCGGTTAGCGTCGATTGGCGTTTACGCATCGTCGCCTTTGCGTCGATTCACAAGAGCCGACAATATTGCATGGAAGGGGCCCACGAGTTGCCGCCGAAGGCTTGTGCGAGTGCGCCCACGAGTGGCGCGGCACGTCGTCCGCCGCGCTCGCACGCGCGTCTGAACGCCGAGCTCGCGTTCAGGGCCCTCTTCTACCTTCCAGCAATCAACCTTCCGCTGGGCTCATCCAGAACGATAATGGCGACATGCGCGCCTGCGCCAACATCGGCGCGACCGCCAAGATCGCTGGCGCCTTCCCAGTGCACGCGGGCAGGGAAATTATCCTCACGGAGTCTAACTTGCCGCCCCGAGTGACACGCGGAACCCTTTTTGTGAAAGTCGTGGATATTGAACTCTACTCGCACCTGTCCCCTCTTGCCAACAAGCAGCCCATTCATCAGCACCTTTGCGTGGACCTGAAATTAATGCCAGTCGCCATCCACGTCCGGGTTTCCAATTGGAACAAGACAAGACCTTCCTCGAGGGCAACTCCAGCGCTCCTCAGCCTGGGGGGCCAGATTTGACAGGCTTGACAGGCGCGCTGGCCGTGCCACGCGGCGCGCGATCATGGCCGCGCAGGTCCGCAGACGCGCAGAACGCCGCGTCTGTGACCAGGAGGCTGATTCCACGGTTGCCCCAAAAGCAGCGCACACTTGCGTGGCATCCAAGGCCAAACAGCAGGTCCTGGCTCCATGGCCCACTGGCAGTTCCCAGCCGAACTGACGGAACAATGCATTTGGCTCGCGTACCGTTCGTCTCTGAGCCCGCCCGCCCAATCTCCGCAGTCTCTCGCGCCACGGCGGGAGTAGGCGGGCGCCCGGAGGTCGCCGTTGCCGCGTTTGACGAACTGTTTCTTAAAATGCGAAAGCGCGCGCCGTTATGGACTGGCCACCGCGGCCCCGCTGAACATTGAGCTTTGCGACTAACGACCCAAGCCTTCACCATCACGGTGCTGGTGAGCCTGTTGCGTCCATGGTCTCGCGACCGCGGCGCTGGGCCTGTTGCGCCCATGCTTTCGTAGCCACGGTGCTGCTCTGCCCGCGCTGTAGCGGTTGGCGCCCGCGCCACTCCGCTCGGAGGGCAAAAATGTTTTATGGCGCACTCGAAAATTACCTTGCGCCCATCGCGCCCATCATCCCCATAACCACCCCCACCAGTAGCAGCATCGACAGTAGCAGCAGGCGCAGCAACGTCACCATTCAGCACCAAGGGTCCCATCATCATCATCCTCCTCCTCCTCCTCCTCCTCCTCATCATCATCATCATCAGTATCATCATCAGCATCTTCATCATAAGCGTCATCCGTAATATCACGATCATCCTCGTCCAGTCCTTAGAGGACATCTGGAAATAGTCGGGGGCGGAGTCGCCCGGCCCATCATCCCCTCAACACCTTAGCTGCTGTGCGGGCGTTTTGTTGGGGTGGCTCTTTGCGCCTGCAAGGCGAGCGCCCCGTTTCCGAGGCGGTGACTTGCTCATAACCACAACCACGGGGATCGATATTCGGGGACTTCGGCCGGCGGTAGACATGGATGTCTCCGGCACCTCGGGGCCAGAATCTATCCATACCCGCCGCCCCTTGTAGTGCCTGGCCATCGGTTGCCCAGGCAATGGATATGGGTGAACCCCCGCCTTGTAAAATCAAGTGTTGCGCCGCCGTGCGGTCGAACAAAACAAATTGCACTGCCAGAGTCGAGTGTCCTCAACCAGCGTCATCAGAATCAGGGTGGGTCCCAAAGTTGTTCGCCTCGGGCGTCTTCCGGGTCATCGTCGTCCTTTTTGCATTGTTCGGCCAGCACCCTCGTCATCGTCGTCAACGTCGTTGTTCTATGTTTTTTGTTCGTCCTATTTCTCCCCTTCCCCCTTGTTTCCTCCCGCTCTTACTCCTTCTGGTATTACCCAGCCGCATGCGGCAAACCCCACAACCGCGCTTGCGCAACAGCGTAGTAGGAAGGAGGCTGATCGTATGAACGGCGCATTTCCGACGAGTAGTCTGCATTGGGGCGGGTCGTGATCCCGACCTCGTCTTCGCCCGCACGACAGGGGAGGAGGAGGAGGAGGAGGAGGAGGAGGAGGAGGAGACGGAAGAGGCGGAAGAGGAGGAGGAAGAAGAGAAGGAGGAGGAGGAGGAGGAGCACGACGAGGAGGAGGAGGAGGAGGAAGAGGAGGAGGAGGAGAAAAAGGAAGAGGTGGAGGAACGAGGTGCATGGGGGGCACGGGGAAGAACGGGAGGATCACGAGGCGTACGGTGAAGGCGAGGATGAAGTGATGTAAATGAGAAGTAGGAGTGATGTAAGTGAGTAGTACATGGGAAGTAGGAATGTAAGGAGAGGAGGAGCAAAAGGAAGAGAACCCAGAGACCCCTCCCCCCTTGGGGGTCCCGCTGCATCAGACACTCGGCCACCCCCAGCGGAGCCGCCCAGTTTTGTGGAGGCGGCGGAGGTGTTTGCCGGTTCCCGACCACGGAGCACCGGCACGCGGAAGACCCGCGCGGTTGCCAGGAGGAGGAGGAGGAGGAGGAAGAAGAGGAGGAGGAGCAGGAGGAAGAGGAGGAGAAGGAGGAGGAGGAAGAGGAGGAGGAGGAGGAAGAGGCGGAGGAGGAGGAGGAGGAGGAGGAGACGGAGAAAATGCGGATGAGGAGCAGAAGGCTTCATAGGGCATTCTTGGGGTTTCCTTGGGGGCCCTGGAAGTTTCCCGACAGTTTTTTGGTGGTCTCTTGGCGTCCTCATGGGGTCTCTGGGTGGCCTTTTCGGGCCCGCTGGGCAGGTTAAGGAGATCAGCTGCCCATCTGACCCCCAAAGAGACCCTTGGGTGGCCTCTGTAGGCCCTGTAGGCCGTGTTGGTGCCCTTGTGGTGCGGATCACAGCCGTTTGGGGGCCCTTTGGGCCCCGTAGGCGATGTTTGGATTTTGTTTGGGCTGTATTGGAGCTATGTTGGAGACCTCTTGGCGACCTCTCGGCCTGTTCTGGATGGTCGGAGCCCCGAACAGGCGAGAACTCTAGAGTATGTCAACGGCGTACGGAATCTCAATGGTTTTGACCTCATCGGGTTCTTCTTACTCTGTTTTGAGATTGTTTGGGGGGCCTTTTGAGCCATCTTGGTGCCATCCTGGATGACTAGAAAGCCGTCTTGGAGGCCATGAGACTCCCAAGGAAGCCTCAAGATAGACCAAAAGACTCCCAAGACGGCCCAGGGCCTTCCTGGAGAGTCCAAGCGGGCAAAACCATATGATTTTCTTTGGACTTTCAAAGGATTCGGAGGATCTGCCATGTTCGGCTTTCCGACCACCCGAGACAGCCCGAGAGGCATCTTTGGGCCGTCTTGCTCTCGTGAGGCGTTCCAAGGCCGTCTTTGGGCCCTCTTGGAAGTCCCTTGGGCAACATTCGGGTCCTGCTGGCCCGGCTTGGGGTCCTCTTTGGGACCTCTAGGGTTGTCTTGGGGCTATATTGGAGGCCTCTTGGGCCGTCCTGCGCGGTCGGAAATCCGAACAGGCGAGAACCTCAATATCCTTCAACAGATACAGGAAACATCAGTGGTTGTGGTCCTCTCGTGCTCTCCAAGAAGGCCCCTTGGAGCTCTTTTGGGCCGTTTTGCGGGCCGTCTTGAAAGGCTCTTGAGCTATTAGGGACATTGAGCCGTTGTGTTGCCGTATTGGTTGTCTTGGTGGCCGTCTTGGAGGCCATTTTGGTTGTTTAGAGGCCGAAAAGAGCACCGAGCAACTTCGGGGGGGAAGATGTTTAAACCCTGGTCGCGATGCAGGGGGGTCGGCCCTAGAAAACATTAGAAAACAGCAAACTAAACAAACACTCCAGGGGGACCACGGGAGCATTCTAGCACGTCCACTCTGCGCTTGCACGCTGGCGGATTGTTCTTCCCGTTGCTCCTCCCAGATGTTCTCATCTCACTCCTACTCGTCCTCCTTCTCGTCCTCCGGGCTCGCTTCCTCATCCTCTTCCTCCTCTCCCCACGATGCTTCCTATACATCTCCATATCACTCCTACTTCTCATTTACATCACTTCATCCTCGTCTTCACCGTACGCCTCGTGATCCTCCCGCTCGTCCCCGTGCCCCTCATGCACCTCGTTCCTCCGCCTCTTCCTCCTCCTCCTCCTCCTCCTCCTGACCGATCCTCCTCGTTGTCGCCCTGCTCGTCTTTCTCACCCCCCTTCGGGAAGGGCCTCTTCCCTGGCCGCAGGGGCTCCTTCGAGGGCCACGGCTGCCCGAGAGGAGGGCGGCGTCGGGCGGGAGGCCAGCCTCCGTGGCGCTGCCCGCCTGGCGCTGTCTCTCTCTCCGCCCAGGCGGAGATCTCAGCCGCAGTGTGGTTAGCAACGAGTGCCAGCGAATTCCCCTGCAGTGCTGGCCCGCCGTCCGCCTCCTCCTCCATCATCATCCCTCATCCATTCCTACTCCTCCTACTCCTCCTCATCTTCTCCTCCTCCTCCTCCTCCTCCTCCTCCTCCTCCTCCTCCTCCTCCTCCTCCTCCCGTCATCATCCTCCCCTCTTCTTCTTTCTAGACGTTCCTTCGTCCCCCCCCCCTGGCCGCGCACTTGTGCCTCGGGCCATGACTTGCTACCCCTTCTCTCTGGCAGTCTACCATCAACCTAATTATGGTAGAGGAGGTGTCGCTCTTCATTCTCAGGCCGCTCACTAAAAGTATTACAACCGTCTTGGACAGGGCACGGCTGCTCCTCTCATCCTGCTTCCCCCCCCCCTCCCGCCTTATCCTCTCGTCTTTTGCTCATCTATCCTGTGTTGGGCTGTCTCGTCTGAATAGGGCCCTGCATCTTTCATCCCGTCCTCTCCCTCTCCCTCCCGTCCTCCTGCGTCCTGCTTACCCCATGCCTCCTACCTCGCCTCCCGGGGTGCTGCCAACTTCAC